AGTCTTGTGATACTGCAACAGTGGATCTGATAATCAAGATGACTACCAAGTGACAAATGGTGGAGATTTCATCACATTACTCAGAATGGCCACCACCTGTCACTTATTAATTTTTTTTCTGAAAGTTTTTGTTTAATATTTTCAGACTGGAGTTGACTGTGGTTAGCTGAAACTGCAGAAATTAAAGCCATGGATAAGGGAGGAAGTACTGTATTGCAAATACATATACATGAAGATATAGATACAGGTATATCTATATTATCATTTCATCTGAAAAAGGGATAAGTATTCTGGAATTATAAAACTTCTTGACTTATGAAGCCCTATATAGTTTTAAACATTTGATGCTTCCTCCACCTGTTAATGGTTTTTTTACTTATGCTTTTATATTTTTCTTGTCACTGGATGATAATCTTTTCAATAAGTTTAAAATTTATACTTTTTTTTTTTAACTTCTAACCCAGCAGTTTATTATTATTTTTTTTTAACTTTCATTTTAAGTTTAGGGATACACATGCAGGTTTGTTATATAGGTAAACTTGTGTCATGCAGGTTGTTTGTATAGATTATTTCATCAACCAGGTATTAAGCCTATTATTCATTTTTTTTCCTCATTCTCTCCCTCCTTAACCCCCCATGCTCTGATGGGCCCAGTGACTATTGTTTCCTTCTATGTGTCCACGTGTTGTCATCATTTAGCTCCCACTTTTAAGTGAGAATATGTGGTATTTGGTTTTCTGTTCCTGTGTTAGTTTGCTATAAAAGCCTTCAACTCCATCTATGTTCTTGCGAAGGACATGATCTCTCTTTTTTAAATAGTTCCACAATGTTTCATGATGTATATGTACCACATTTTCTTCATCTAGTCCACCACTGATAGACATTTAGATTGATTTTATGCCCTTTCTATGGTGAATAAGCACTTCATAATTTGAAAATAATGTTAGTATAAAGAGTTTGTATGACTGTTAATCCATTTGCTATATTCTGACATAAATATATAGTCTTTTACATTATTATTGTTTATCCTCTTTACTGGCTGATTGCAATACAAAAAGCTTATACATTCATGCTTATGGATGGGTACAATCAATACTGTGAAAATGACCATACTGCCCAAAGCAATCTACAGATTACATGCAATTCCCTAAACTACCATCATCATTATTCACAGGACTAGAAAAAAACAAATCCTAAAATTCTTATGGGACCAAAAAAAGAGCCCACATAGACCCAACAATACTGAAAAAAAATATGGACACATCTCATTACCTGACTTCAAACTATATTACAAGGCTATAGTTACCAAATAGCATGGTACTGGCCATTACATGTGTATACGAATACATTATTGTGGTTTTGATCTTCAATAATTAAAATCTCCATACTACCCAAAGGGAGCTTCAGATTCAATGTATTTCCTGCAAAATCTTAGCACTAGTTTTTACAGAAATAGAAAAAAAAATCCTAAAAATTATATGCAATTACAAAAGACTTTAAATAGCCAAAGGAATCTTGAGAAAGAAAACAAAGCAGGAAACATCATATTTTCTGATTTCAACTAAATTACAAAACTACAGTAATTAAATAGCATGGTACTGGACTCAAGACAGACATACAGACGAATGGAATGGAATACGGAGCTTGGAAACAATCCCACATGTATATAGTCAAATGACCTTTCACAAGGATGACAAGAATATGCAATGGGGAAAAGATTATCCCTTCAACAAAACAAATGGTGCTAGGAAAAATTGAATATGCATATGAAAAAGAATGAAATTGGACCCATGTCTTATACCATATTAAAAAACCAACTCAAAATAGGTTAAAAGTTTAAACATAAAACCTGAAACTACCATCTCTATAAGAAAACATAAGGAAAATCTTTGGGACATCAGGCTTGGGAAGGACTTGCTGGATATGACATAAAAAGCCAAGCAACAAAACTAAAATTAGACAAGTAAGACTACATCAAAATCAAAGACTTCTGCACAGTGAAGAAAACAATCAGCCAAGCAAAAAGGCAGCCCACAGAATAGGAGTAAATATTTGTAAATGATACATCTAATAGGAGATTAACATCAAAATATATAAACTCAATAGCAACAATAACAATAATCTTTTAATATAGGCAAAGGACTTGAACACAGTTTTTTCCCAAGAAGACATACAAATGGCCGACAGTTGTATGAAAAGATGTTCAACATCAGTAGTCATCAGGGAAATTCAAATCTGAAACATTTGAAATCAGAGGCCAAATAACTCTATTCATGCGGTGCCTTATTCCAGAATCATTTACTTTTGATTATTAAGTAAATCATCATGTTGCTATTTTGAAACAGGAGATAATTAGGGCATATTCCTCTTGGGACATTGCCTGTAGATTTCATCAACGGTTGGTTACAAAGATATAAACAATCTAAATTGGTCATATTCATAGAGTACCTAAAACTGCACGTGTTGTTCCACAGGTAAGAGAAAATTTCAGATAATTTCAAGACTATTTTAGAAGGTAGAACCTACAATGTCAAAAGAAACTATGTTGCTTTGTAGTAAACTGTTTAGGTACTAAACACCTACAACAAAACACTTCAGTTCTGGACTATTGCATATGTGAATCAAGTGTATTCATTAAAATATGATTTATTTAGAGTTATGCCTAAGAATTAAAAACCAACACTTACTAGAAAACAAGAAAAAATAGAAAATATTGAGTTTGTACTTGTAGAGGTAAATAACAGAGCTTCTAACAGAGTGTATGCTTTAATTTTTCTGATAGATAAAGATAGTTCAAAGTAAGATAATGAATTTATCAATAAATATCAATAAAGGACAAAACATTTGACATTTTCATTTATGTGGGGTCTTATATTTTGAGGTAATAAGGAAAATAATCAATAATTATTTTATATTTGTTTTCTGGAGTTTCATCTAGAAGTCATTTCAGATTATTACTTATTTTATGTTTCTCTAGATTTAATGGTTTAAAAATACAAATACACCAAGAATCACATTTTGCTTTATCTTTATTTTCCTGAGGTCAGCAGAAGGGTAGAGGGAAAAGTGTTCCAGTTGCAGAATGAAGCCACGTATAATATGAGGCCATGAAAAAATGCAAAAATTTCATGTGTAATGAGAGAAACCCCGGATTGAATCTTGGCTATGGAAATTATTAGCTATGAAAGTTGCTTTAGGTGAAATAGGTAATGTGCACAAAAACTCTGTTTTTACAGCAAGTGTGAAATAAATGTGACTATTATTTAGCAAACTTAGTGTTTCATCATTACATTCATGATATTTGAAGTTTTCTGCCTTCCATTAAAATTTGATTCATAGAAGTAGACTTACATTAATTTTAAAAGTCGATTCTATATTATTAAATCTTCCAGTGTCATAGTCATATTCTTTTTGTAACTCTGAATCTTTGACTCTGTGCTAATATTAACTTAGTTTTTACCCAATATAACTTCTTTTGGCATCTAGTAGAAATAGCTGTCTCAGGAGAAAGTTAGTTGATGTATCTTATTTGAACAAAGCAAAATTAAGACAACTGCAATGTAGGAAATGGGATTGTGATAATTTGAATGTTTATTTTTGGAGTAAAATGATCAAATAATTCACAAAACTTCTTCATTTTCCAAAGAATAATTCAGAGATATTTGAGTGAGCAGAGGAAAGAAAATCGTAATTGTTCATTGGATTTAAAATCTTGAGAGGGACATGGATGAACCTGGAAGCCATCATTCTCAGCAAACTGACACAGGAGCAGAAAATCAAACACCGCATGTTCTCACTCATAGGCAGGTGTTGAACAATGAGAACACATGGACACAGGGAGGGGAGCACTACACACTGGGGTCTGTTGGAGGGAAATAGGGGAGGGACACCAGGGGGTGGAGAGTTGGGGGGGATGGCATGGGGAGAAATGCCAGGTATAGGTAAGGGGGAGGAAGGTAGCAAATCACACTGCCACGTGTATACCTATGCAACAATCTTGCATGTTCTTCACATGTACCCCAAAACCTAAAATGCAATTAAAAAAATAAATAAAATAAATCTTGATAGCATACTCTGTACAACCAACCTAAATCAGCCTATTCTATAATCAGTTATTTTCCATATTCAATTTTATTAATGTAATTTTCCTTCAACATTTACTCCAATCTTGTAAAATGACTATTAATATTCTCATTCTATACATAAGTAGACTATAGCAAATCATTTTGCACAATTGCTAAAAGTTCTAAACTTCTGGCATTGTATTCCAACGCTCTGTCCCCTGATATACTCTCTTGTGTGTTTGGATGTCAGAGGATTTTTTTTTTTTTTTATTGTACTTTAGGTTCTGGGGTATGTGTGCGGATCATGCAGGATTGTTGCATAGGTACATACATGGCAAGGTGGTTTACTGTCTCCATCCCCCCGTCGCCTATATCTGGCATTTCTCCCCATGTTACCCCTCCCCAACTTCCCCACCCCCTGCTGTTCCTCCCCCTGCAGTGTGTGATGCTCCCCTCCTTGTGTCCATGTGTTCTCATTGTTCAACACCTGTCTATGAGTGAGAACATGCGGTGTTTGACTTTCTGTTCTTGTGTCAGTTTGCTGAGAATGATGGTTCCCAGATTAATCCATGTCCCTACAAAGTACACGAACTCATTTTTAATGGTTGCATAGTATTCCATGGTGTATATGTGCCACATTTTCTTTGTCCAGTCTATCATTGATGGGCATTTGAGTTGATTCCAGGTCTTTGCTGTTATAAACAGTGCTGCAATGAACATACAGTTGCATGTGTCTTTATAATAGAATGATTTATAATTCTTTGGGGGTATTTTTTAAGCCACTCTTTTATGTGTGTTTTAATATTATTTAATATGAAAACAGCTAATGCAATTCAATGGTACATTAACCAGTAGATCTGATGATTTTAGAAACAGAGTAAGTCCAGCCAACTAATGAACATCCATTTCTTCCATTAGATTCTGCAGTGAGTGGCATGAACATATGACTGACCAGTTTGTCACTTTCCTTTGATTCACTACTAGAAAATTATGCACTGCTGAAAATATACTGTACATTATACACAAGAGCACAGTTAACACCCTCTTGAGTCATGGTATTGTTCATTCTTTTTGTCATAATATGAACTGTAATTTCATTAATATCTTCAAGTTTGTTCTAGATTTCAACACGAAGAATGTCACCGAAGTTAACATGTTTGTACTGAAGGGCTTCACAGACAATCTTGAACTACAGATCATCTTCTTCCTCCTGTTTCTAGCAATCTACGTCTTAACTGTCATGGGAAATTTAGGACTGATTGTACTGGTCACTGGGTATTCCCAGCTCCACAACCCCATGTACTATTTTCTTAGTGTTTTATCGTTCTTGGATGCCTGCTATTCCACAGTTGTCACTCCAAAAATGTTGGTCAATTTTCTGGTAAAAAATAAGTCCATTTCATTTATTGGATGTGCAGCACAGATGCTTCTCTTTATTACTTTTGGAACCACAGAATGCTTTCTCTTGGCTGCAATGGCTTATGATCGCTATGTAGCCATCTACAACCCGCTCCTGTATTCAGTGAACATGTCACCCAGAGTCTACCTGCCACTCATCACTGCTTCCTACATTGCTGGCATTCTGCATGCTACTATACATACGGTGGCTACATTTAGCCTGTCCTTCTGTGGATCCAATGAAATTCAGCATGTCTTCTGTGATATCCCTCCTCTCCTGGCTATTTCTTGTTGTGACACTCACACAAACCAGCTTCTACTCTTCTGCTTCGTGGGCTCTATTGAGATAGTCACTATCCTGATTGTCCTGATCTCCTATTTTTTCATTCTATTGGCCATTCTGAAGATGCATTCCGCTGAAGGGAGGAGGAAAGTCTTCTCCACCTGTGGGGCTCACCTAACTGGAGTGTCAATTTATCATGGGACAATCCTCTTCATGTATGTGAGACCAAGTTCCAGCTATGTTTTGGAGCATGACATGATAGTGTCGATATTTTACACCATTGTGATTCCCATGCTGAATCCCATCATCTACAGTTTGAGGAACAAAGATGTAAAAGAGGCAATAAAAAAAATGTTTGGAAAAAATCAGGATATCAATAAAGTATACTTTCAAACTGAAAAATAGATTTAAAAAAGTTAAGAGTGATACTCTGTACCTCAGTACCAAGAGCTTGTCATTGTGGTGTTATGCTGGCTTGCATCCAGAATTCCCATAGCCCTTGTCACAGTCCTTTGTTATAATGTTGGGTGTGTTAGGCCTCAGGGGCAGGCCTTTTACCTTCTCCTGCCCTCCTTTCACTTGCCCCAGGGCAGGATTCCAATGTTTGCCTTACTGATTGTGAGTCTTATGACTCTCCCATGAGAGAGTACCACCCTATGCCCTGGGGGAGGGAATGCTGATGCCTTGAAGCTCCCATAAAACCTAGGAGGATAGGATTCAGTGAGCTTCTGGATGGCAGAACAGGTGGAAATTCCTAGAGGGTGACAGTCAGGGAGGGTATGGAAGCTCTGCACCCCTTTCCTTATACCTTGCTCTACACATCCCTTCATCTGTATCCTTTGCAATATCCTGTATAATAAGCAAGTAATGTTTCCCTGACTTTTGTGAGCTGCTTCAGTAATTTAATAATACCCAAAGAGGGGGTCATGGGAGCTCCAACTTGAAGCTGGTTGGTCAGAAGTTCCAGGGACCCGGACTTGTGATATTCCTCCTCTCCTTGCTATTTCTTGTCCGAAACTCACACAAACCAGCTTCTACTTCAAGTGTTGTTGGGAGGCAGTTTTGAGGACTGAACCTTCAACCTATGGGATCTCCAGGTAAATAGAGTTGCAAATGAATTAGAGGACACCAAGTTTGTGTCTACTGCATGGTGTGGGAGGAAGAAATCCCCACACATTTGGTCACTGAAGTTGTTGATGATTATTGTGGTATGACAGTACAAGAAAAGCCTGGTTAGCAAGAGTTTTTCCTAGACAATAATGAAAATGTTTGTTAGTGTAATTCTGTTTTTTTCTTGAATGTTTTAAAATAAAGGTCATAGGTGACCCTGTATCTATGCTGTTCTTACATGTAGAAAAATCTGTTATCTATTTTCTTTTTACTATGTTTATATATTGATATATATACACAGATATTTTACATATGTATACATGTACATGTATTCACATATAGATGTACATATATGCTGATAGTAATTGACATACAAAAAAATGCACATCCACAGGCATTTATGTATGTAATCTTTACTTAAAAATGTATACTATTTTCTTTCATCTCCATATAAGATATATTTTGCTAAAATGTGATTAATACATTTAAATCACACTTCAAAAGTACAAATATAGAGCATCTCCTCCCACAAATATTTTTACCCAATACCTCTGGATTTATTTTCTCCTATTTGGAGGCTGTCTTCTCTCACACTACATGGTTCTTTCCTTCAAAAGTCAAAAGTAAGTTATGGTCATTGACATTCATCATATGTGCATGCCAAACCATGCAAATGAGGACAGCCCCTGTGTACATGCATGTGTGTGTGTGTGTGAGTATGTGTGTATGTGTGTGTGTTTGTGCTTGTGTGTATGTATGATTTGGAATAGAAGAGATATTTAAATACCGCTTAAAATCAGAAAGATTGTTAAATTTTATTCTTTAAAAATTGTGAAGTCTGCATGATAAAAAGTACCAAAAATATAAGAAAAGGCCAAGCTACAGACTTGGGAAAATAGAAACAATTATCTATTTGTTGAATTAATTCATAATAAAGTTTATAGCACAATGCATAAAATATACATAGAGAAAATTTGTAAAGAATGAAATCTTATGGATAATGTATATACATCGATAATAATCTAGAAAATGTAAACATTAAATGATAGAAAACACTCAAACACTTTTGGGTAATTTGCTAGCAAATACAAACTAAGGTGAGTTTACTAAATGTGAAACTTCTATAAACTAAAAGCTTTCATGAACTAATTAAACAATTTCAATTCATATATCAGACACAATTTATTATCAAGAATACACACCAGTTACATGGGTGAAAAAAAAATTCGGACTTAATTTAAAAAGACACACAACATGTAAAATTATATCTAAACTGATTTAAAAATAATACATTGAGGCAAAATTCCCATGTGATAAAATTAACTATTTAATGGAATAATTCAGTGGCAATTATTACATTCACAATGTTGTGTAATCACCACCTATGTCTAGCTCCAGAACACTTCCATCACTATGAAGTACACCATAAGTAGTTTCTCCCCAATTCTCACTTACTCCAGCCCCCGACAATCTGTGCTCCATCTCTGTATTTTCCTATTCTGGATATTTTCTATAAAGAAATCATAGAAAAGGTGACCTTTGTTGCCTGTTCTGCTTTCACTTAACATAATGTTTTCAAAAATTATTTGAAAACATTTCATGCCTGTTGTAGCATGAGTTGATTTTTCATTTATGTTATTTTATTTTATTTTATTATTTTTTAAGACAAAGTCTTGCTCTGTTGCCAGACTAGAATGCAGCGGCGGGATCTCAGCTCACTGCAACCTCTGACTCCCTAGTTAGAGCAATTCTCCTGCCTCAGCCTCTTAAGTAGCTAGGATTATAGGTATGTGCCACCACGCCCAGCTAGTTTTTATATTTCTAGTAGATATGGGGTTTCACCATGTTGTTCAGGATGGTCTTAATCTGCTTACCTCATGATTCGCCTGTCTTGGCTTTCTAAAGTGCTGGTATTTCATTGTAATTCTTATTTACAATTCTCTAATAACTAATGTTGAGTAACTTTCATGTGTTTATTGGGCATTTGTTTGTCTCTCTGGAGAAATTTTTATTCAAGTATGTTTGTCATTTTTAAGTAGACTACTAAGGTTATTTGACTCCTTAATGTTCAGTTGTAGTTTTTTGACGTATTCTAGCTATTCAATACCTATTCAATGTATTTGAATATATTTTCTTCTACTATTTAGGTTGTCTTTTCACTGTCTTGATAATGTCCTATGACAAACAAGTACGTTTAATTTTGATGAAGTTTGATTGATCTATTTTTTGTTATTGTTGCTTGTAGCTTGGGTATAATGTTTAGAAATCTATTGACAAACACAGAGAAGATCATAAAGACTATCTCTCACATTGTCTTCTAAGAGTTTTATAATTTTACTCTTGTATTTAGGGTGTTGATTTGAAGTTAATTTTTGTGTAAAACTAGATGTAGTGGTTCTACTTCATTATTTTGTGTGTGGTTATCAGTTGTCCAGTAGGCTAAATGTATTTTTAATTATTGTTTAAACGTTCAAAGTAAAATTTTAATGATATTTCATTGTTTCCTTTTACTTAGCAAAATAGGAACTTCCTTGCATGATTAAAACTGCTAGAGGTCTGAGTAGGAAAATACTACCAATTTTTTCTTGGCTATATGAACATTAAATATTTACAAATGTAAATATTAAGATATGTTATAAATAGAAATACTAAAACATTTTTGTTGAATTGACTAGATTTGAAAATATTGACACTATATGGCCTAGTAATTTCCAAGTGTCATCTAAGTGTATAGACTTGATAGAATATTGTATGAGAGAAAAATGAGGACTCAAAAAGACGTGAATTACATTATTTCATCTAATATAGAAGACATAACACAGCTAAATTTTTTACCTAGTTTAAATGCATAAACAAATCTATATCAAGATATTTAAATAAAATAAAATTATTTCAAGAAAAAATAAGTCAATCAAAAATTATAGAAACATCTTAAATTCACTTCTGTAAATGTAAAACTACATAACTAGAAATGATACATATCATTTATATACCAAAAATACAATAGTAAATTGATTTTATTTTAAAAACTAGATGGTATTTATTAACCTTGAAAACATTGTTTTAAGTAAAATAAGTCAGTCCCAGGAGGACCAATACTCTATGATACCACTTATATAAGGTATGCAAAATAATCAAATGCATAAAATCACAGAGGAGAATTGGAGTTTCCAGGTGCTGGGAAAAGGGGGCAGGCACAAATGGAGAGTTAGTATAAAACAGGCATAGCATTTCAGTCATGCCAGAGGATTAAGTTCCAGAGATGTCCTGTATTTATCTATTTTTTGTTATTGTTACCCCTGTAGGTAATATTGCTGCAATGGATAGTTCCAACTTTTTAAGATGATAGATCTCATGGTAAATGTTCTTAAAAATATAAGGACTTGAAAAGAGAATAAAAGGTTGTGATAGTCAAAAATGGTTAATTTTGAATAAAATGGAAGAAATGGAAATGGGAGAAGTTGGATAAGTGAAAATTAGATTGTATTTAATGATGTATTATTTTAAAATAAGGCATATAATATAAAACTATTGATTAATTTGGGTGAGAGAAATATAGTGTCTAGAAGGTAATTATAGACATAACTTTTGCACCTACAATGCTTACAGACTAGAAAATTCCACACAAAAAGTAAAAAAAAAAAAAAGTAAATCTATCAGTATTTATGAGGCTTCTATATGCATTGAGGGAAGATCACAGGCTCATATAAAAAACATATTTTCCATCCAAATAATTTTAATTAATCACTAGAAATAAGACCAAATATATGATGAGCGTAAGAAGAATTTTAATTAATACTTCTCCTTGTCACATTAAGAAATCAATTAAAAATTGATATTCATTTTTTCTAATCACTCATTCACACGTTAAATTTATGTTTTATATCACCTGGTTTTTTCTTTTTTACTTATTTGCAGGAGTTGCTCTTGATGCAGAATGGGGGCTTTACATTTAGTTCTGTTCCCAATATTTATATTAAAATTGACCATTGGAAACAGAATTCTGTGCTGCTTTCTCACTATTAATTTTTTTCATCCCAGGGCCAACAGCATCAATTCCCTATTTATATACAGGTAATTGCATTCTTTTTTTATTCAATGGGATTATCTAAGTAAGTCCCTAGGCAATCTCCACAGTTTCACTCTTTCGGTAAAGTTTTGAATGGAATCTTGGCTAATGAATGTTGTTTGTCTTTCTCTGGGGAATCAGATTTTTATTTGGAAAATCTTATTGTCATGCTTGGGGACTGGGACCTAGAAACAAATATATTCAGCATGAAGGCCTTCAGAAACTTCAGACACTTAAAAAACTCTAGCATGCTTTGAGCAGGAGCCTTGGGTCTGGGCCTCGCCAGATATCTCTACACGGGTAAGT